CGGGATGGGGACTGGGAAATGACCCGCGACCCGCTTGTCCCGACCTTAGCCCGGCCCGCTGGTCGCTGTTAATAATTAATTAGCGGAGTCTCCGGGCAACGATCGCGGGGACGCCGAGGGGCCTCCGTTCACTACCGGGATGCGGGAGCGGCTCCGCCCCGTCCTCGCACCGGACTCGTCCCGGTGCTGCCGCCTGGAGCCCGCCGGGCTGCGTTCACTGCCCCGGGATGTGCCCCGGGGCTCCGCTCCGGCCGCTCTTGCGGGGAATTGTTAACGGGAACGGGGCAGCGTTCCGGGGCTCCCGCACCGCTGCGCTGCCGTGTCGGAAGTTCCCCGACCCCGCTCCTGGATCCCGGAATATCCCCGCGTCTCGCCACCCCGGGTGCCACCGGTATCACCGGACAACACTGGGAGCCGCCCAGACCCCGAGACCACTCCGAAACTCGGGGGGCCACCCCAAACCTCAGCACCCCATGGTCCACTGGACCCGGGGAGAACCCAGTACCAGTCCAGGGACCACCCGGCCGCCGGGACAATACCGGACACCCGGTCCTGAGACCCCGTTAGACCCCGGGACACTCCCGGACTCCTCGCCCCCGGGTCTCTCCGATTCCCGGGACATCCCCGGACACGGAGACACACCGGGACCGCATCGCTCCCGGACCCACCCGCCCCGGGGCCAATGAAGGACCCCGGAATCCCCCCGAACCTCAGCGTCCCGGGACCCCYTGAAATCCCGGGWCATCCCCGGACCTCAGCACCTCGAKATTCCCTGRAATCCCGGGACATCCCCGGACCTGAGCATCCCCCGGGACCCTCCCGGATCCCCCCAACTCCCCGGGTCCCGGGACCCCTCGGACCTCAGCGCTCCAGGACCACCCCCGGACCGCCGGACCCCCTATACCGGGACCCCATTTCCTCAATCCCGGGACCCCTCCGGTGCTTTTTCCCCCTCCCAGCCGCCCCCTCCTGCTCCCGGTCCCCCCGTTCCCGGTCCCCCGGGGCTGAACTACATCTCCCGGCATCCCCCGGGCCCGGCGCCGCCGTTTCCCGCCGCTCCGCTCCCGCCATGGCGCGGTTCGAGCCGGCGGCGCTGCCGGAGCTGCTCCCGGTWTTCTACCGGCGGCTCTTCCCGCACGGTCCCTACGGCCGCTGGCTCARCTACGGCGGCGGTGAGCGGGGGAGGAACCGGTACCGGGCGGGGGATGCGGTGATACCGGGCGGGGGCATCGGTAGGGGCGGGGGGCAACATCAGGAGCCGCGATACCGGGCGGAGGGCTGCGATACCGGACGGGGGCATCGATACCGGGCGGGGCGGGGAGCAGCGATACCGGGCGGGGGGCACCGATACCGGGCAGTGCGCACCGATACCGGGCGGGGGGCAACGTCGGGGACCCTGATACCGGGCGGTGGACCCCGATACCGGGCGGGGGGCAACGTCGGGGATGCGGTACCGGGTGGTGGGCACCGATACCGTACCGGGGGGCACCGATACCGGGTGGGGGATGCGGTGATACTGGGCGGGGGACACCGTTACCGGGAGGGGGGCACCATCAGGGGCTGCGATACCGGGTGGTGGGCACCGATACCGTACCGGGGGGCACCGATACCGGGTGGGGGATGCGGTGATACCGGGCGGGGGGCACCGTTACCGGGCAGGGGGCACCATCAGGGGCCGCGATACCGGGCGGGGGGCACCGATACCGGACCGGTGGGCAGCGATACCGGGCGGGGAGCAACGTCGGGGACCCTGATACCGGGCGGGGGCATCGGTACCGGGCGGTGGCAATCGATACGGGGCGTCGGGGATACGGTACCGGGTGGTGGGCACCAATACCGGACCGGGGAACAGCGATACCGGGAGTGGGGCACCGGCAGCGATACCGGGCGGGAGACACCGATACCGGGCAGGGGGCAGCGATACGGGGCGGGAGACACCGATACCGGGCAGGGGGCAGCGATACGGGGCGGGGGGCACCGATACCGAGCGGGGGGCACCACCACGGGCACCGATACCAGCCGGGAGCATCGCGATCCCAGAGCACGGGTGGCTGTCCCGGGTGGATGCTCTGACCGGGACACCGGGAGGAGCAGGGAACGGTGGGTCTGGGGGTGACCGTGATGCGGGATTTAGGGGGGAATTGACCCCTYCCGCGTCCCCGCAGTGGTGAAGAACTACTTCCAGCTGCGGGAATTCTCCTTCACCCTGCGGGACGATGTGTACCTGCGGTTCCAGTCCTTCGGCAGCCCCCAGGAGCTGGAGCGGGAGCTGCAGAAGATCAACCCTTACAAAATCGACATCGGGGCCGTCTATTCCCACCGGGTGAGTCCCGGGCACCGTCACCGGGGGTCCCTAAGGGTTTTCAGGGGTTCTYAGGGGTTTTTGATCACTCTGAGCCCATCCCGTCCCTTTCACAGCCCAACCAGCACAACACCGTGCATTTGGGAGCTTTCCAACCGCAGGAAAAGGAGCTGGTGTTTGACATCGACATGACGGATTACGACGATGTCCGGACGTGCTGCAGGTTCCACCGGGGTTTTTTGGGGTTGGGAGGGGGTTCAGGGGTGTGGGGTGGCCGGCTGACCCCCCTCACTGTGCCCGCAGYTCGGCTGATATTTGCTCCAAGTGCTGGACGCTGATGACCATCGCYGTGCGCGTCATCGACAGAGCGCTCGTGGGTGAGGGGTTTGGGGTCATGTGTGGGGTTTGGCCGTGTCTGGACCATGCTCGGCCCCACAGCGATGCCCAGACCCCAAAGAGGGGCTGGGGGAATGCTGTCACTGAGCTGGGGGATGTGTTGGTGCTTGGCAGCCTGTCCTGATGTGTCCCCAAACTCATCAGTGCCCCAAA